CTCTGCGTGGGTAGTCTTGTGGGTCTCTGAGTCGTCTATGGGACTCTGCGTGAGTAGTCTATGGGTCTCTATGAGTAGTCTATGGGTCTCTGTGTTGTCTTCCCACCCAGCCCCTCGTGTGGGTGTCGACACGGACGGCCAGGTCACGGCGGTGGTCGGCCAGAAGGTGGCGGTGCTGCGCTGCGTCCTGTGGGGTGCGGCCGTGGTGGTGGTGCAGGCCAACTGGCTGAAGGCCTCCCGTGGCAACGTCTGGGCGGGGGCCAATTTGGCCGCACTCAGCCCGCTGCACGGCACGGCGTACTCCAACTCGTCCCTCGCGGGCCGACTGCGGTTCCGCGTTGGGGGGGCCTCCCGGCGACGTTTCGCTGGAGCTGCTGGACGTGCGGGCTGGCGACGGGGGCCTCTTCCTCTGCCACGTGGCCACCTTCCCCCACGGCAACTACGAGGGGAGGGTCAGCCTCTCTGTCATCGGTGAGGATTGGCACTGCCCCACGCAGAGACCCATAGACTACTCACGCAGAGACCCATAGACTACTCACACAGAGACCCATAGACTACTCACGCAGAGACCCATAGACTCACCACACAGACACCCATAGACTCATCACGCAGAGAGCCATAGACTACTCACGCAGAGACCCATAGACTACTCACGCAGAGACCCATAGACTACTCACACAGACACCCATAGACTACTCACGCAGAGACCCGTAGACTCATCACACAGAGACCCATAGACTCATCACACATAGACCCATAGACTACTCACACAGAGACCCATAGACTACTCACACAGAGACCCATAGACTACTCACACAGAGACCCATAGACTACTCACACAGAGACCTATAGACTACTCACACAGAGACCCATAGACTACTCACACAGAGACCCATAGACTACTCACACAGAGACCCATAGACTACTCACACAGACACCCATAGACTCATCACACAGACACCCATAGACTACTCATGCAGACACCCATAGACTACTCACACAGAGACCCATAGACTACTCACACAGAGACCCATAGACTCACACAGACACCCATAGACTACTCACACAGAGGCCCATAGAATACTCACGCAGAGACCCATAGACTACTCACGCAGAGACCCATAGACTACTCACACAGACACCCATAGACTACTCACACAGAGACCCATAGATTACTCACACAGACACCCATAGACTACTTACACAGAGACCCATAGACTCATCACACAGAGACCCATAGACTCACACAGACACCCATAGACTACTCACACAGAGGCCCATAGACTATTCACGTAGAGACCCATAGACTACTCACACAGACACCCATAGACTCATCACGCAGACACCCATAGACTACTCACACAGAGACCCATAGACTCATCACACAGAGACCTATAGACTCACCACACAGACACCCATAGACTAAACACACATACACCCATATACTACTCACACAGAGATCCATAGACTCATCACACAGACACCCATAGACTACTCACACAAAGACCCATAGACTACTCACACGGACACCCATAGACTACTCACACAGAGGCCCATAGACTACTCACACAGACACCCATAGACTACTCACACAGAGACCCATAGACTACTCACACAGACACCCATAGACTACTCACAAAGACACCCATAGACTACTCACACAGACACCCATAGACTACTCACAAAGACACCCATAGACTGCTCACACAGAGACCCATAGACTATATTCTTAGTTTTTTCGGTAAAGTCACGTTGAAGGGAAACAACAAAATAATAAAATATATATAAAGCAATATAAAATTCTCACGACGTTTCGACCATAACTCAAACGGTCGTCTTCAGGTGTGTTGGTTTGCATATATTTATTTTTAAACGGCGCATTTATTTATTTAAAAAAACGTTAGCGCCACGCGCAACGATTTGGCAGTTTATTTAGGACTAGTCCATCTATATTCTAAAAAGAGGAGGGGGGAGACGAAATTTTTTATAATGTATGCTGTCTGAAAGCCACTGTAAGCGTGAACAATCAATTAAGACCTGACATGGTTTATCAAATCTTTCCAATGATTGCTAAGATAGAATCCATCTTCTCTGTTGAAATTGTCTCTGTGCTTGTATATGTGGATAGCCTCATGAACGAATCTCTCATGGAAGCCAGATGGCTTACAAAGAACCTCTGTCTTGGAAAAGTCAATGGCATGTGAGCCTACTGAATTAGAACAATGATCTGCCACGGCCGAGGTGTTGGTCCTACCGTGTTTAAGGTCTGCTTTGTGTTCACGAATGCGGTCCGAGACATGGCGTTTGGTTTCTCCAATGTGACTACTACCATAGAGGCAACTTAGTTTGTAGACACCAGGGTATTGTATGTCCGGAATCACATCTTTTACAGACGGAACCAGATCACGGATTTTTTGTAATGTGTTGAAACGGACCTGGATCTTGTGTTTATTCAAGATTTTGGAGATCTTTTTTGTGATCCCCGCAATGTAGGGTAAAGTGATGGTTTTGAAAGGCTCCTCAAGAGGGTTCTTCTTCATGGTTTGAGTGATAGCTTTGCGGATTGTATAGTCGGAGTAACCATTAGCCCTAAGAGCTTGGTGTACGTGCTTGAGTTCACTGCTTATGTGTTCCTGGTCGGATATGCATTGGGCTCTATGATACAGAGTCTTTATGAGAGAATTCTTCTGTGATGGATGGTGGTGGGAATCCGGTTTCAGATAAGCATCCGTATGGGTAGCTTTCCTGTAGACAGAGTGGCTCATTGAACCATCAGGTCTCTTTTCAATTAGGACATCCAAAAAAGGTATCTTGCCATCTATTTCGACTTCCATGGTAAATCTGATGGCTGGGTGTATGGAATTGATGTGGTCGAAGAATTGGTCTAGAGCAGGCCGGCCATGTGGCCAGATGACAAAAGTGTCATCCACGTACCTCTTCCATAAGGTTGGGCGCAGAGTGACAGTCTGGATGGCGTCAGTCTCAAATTTCTCCATGAAAATGTTAGCTATAACTGGAGAAAGGGGGGAGCCCATTGGGTTGCCCTCAGTTTGTTTGTAGAAAGTTCCATTCCAAGTGAAGTATGTATTGGTTAAACAGTGTCTCACCAGGGGGGGTACCTCAGTGTTTAGTCCTTGATGAACCAAGTCTTCAATGATTGCAATGGTGTCAGGTACAGGAACCTTGGTGAATAAGGAAACTACATCAAAATTGACAAGCAGGTCATCTGGGGAAAGGGAAATACCCTTGATTGTCGATACCAGGTGAGTAGAATTTTGTACCGCAGAGGTGGTCTTTCCAGTGAAAGGACGCAGGATTTCAGACAAAAAACGAGCTAGTTTGTGGGTGGGGGAGCCGATAGTAGAGACTATGGGACGAAGGGGTGTATCTACTTTATGTATTTTTGGTAAGCCGTATAATCTTGGTGGCCTGGCAGCAGAAGGTTTCAACGAAAACTGTTTAGATTGATCAATTAATGCGGTTGAATCAGAAATTATTTTGTTGGTTTGTGTGACGAGGCTGTTGGTGGGATCTCTTTTTATTTTTGTATAACTACCATCGTCGAGTAATTCTTTAATTTTGTTGTTGTATTCTATTTTATCCATGATGACAGTAGCATTGCCTTTGTCAGCTGAGAGGACTACAATATCATTCCTCTTTTTAAATTTATATAATTCAAAACGCTCATCTTTGCTGAGGTTGCTAGCTGGCATCTTAGCGTTTTTGAGGGTTGCAGCGATTTCAGATCTTGCTACGTCTGCAGCGATGTGACCCAGGCCCCTGAGAGCAACGTCTACTTGGGCAATTATATCATTAACTGGTATGTATTTAGGTGTGACTGCAAAGTTTAGACCTTTAGCTAAAACGGATTTCAGACCATCGGAAATAGAACTGT